TTTTGCAGAACAGGTAGTACTCTCTTTCTCTTGACAGTAAATTGATTTCTAACCTTGTTTGGTAGGTGCCAACTCGTATATAAGAGGAGGTTTTGGGGTCAGCAGGGGGTAGGTCTATCACGTGAAGGATTGATCCAGGGTGGTTTAATAACGCGGTGTGTGGTATTATCACCCCCACCCTTTTTTTATTTATTAAGCACATTGTTTTGTGAAGAAGGGGTCAGATACTGGCCCGAAAGATTATTTTGTTTGTGACTATTACTTAATTTATAATTTTCTTAACAACAAGAAAAACACTCCCACCATTGGAGATACACCATCATAGCATTTAAAGAGACACACACCAAAACGGAGCGTTCTGAGAGAGCTGGTTTACACAGTGTCACAAACCTCCTCTGCTTGATTCATGTTATAGTTTGACCAAAGCACATCACAGATGTTTCATTTAGACCACAGGGAACTGTTTGCAAATGGTATAAAAGGGGTATAATATGTCCTCTTTAAGCTTTTTGCCTACCAAAAAAATGCAAGACAGTACATTTAATAATGTAACGAGAGAGAGAGAGAGAGAGAGAGAGAGAGAGCGAGAGAGAGAGAGAGAGAGAGAGAGAGAGAGAAAAGAGAGAGGCAGGCATGCGCTGATATGCTGCACGAACTGAGTACTAGGCCACTTGAGCCCTTTTTCACATTAAGTAAGTACTAATCCTGTCGTTATGTATTCTGTAGCCAAATCAGCCAAATCATACTGTACAGGTTTTTTCTAACAAATCTGTCATGGTGATAACTGTGGCAGCCATAGCGGTGCATCTCAGCACCAGGCGCTGTGCAGTGTCTGCTGCCCTGCACTGCTGGCATGCACACTGTTCTGTGGCTTGAATGTTTGTGCCTTCCACAGATTGTCACTGCGTTGTTGTTGAGAAAATAATATAACAAGTAAAAGTCACAATGTATAACACAAAATAATCTTGCAGGCCAGATATTATTTGCAGCGTGAGACCTCATATTAGATGGGTTTCCTCGTTTCACAGGGAACTTTTTGGCACAGATTTTACAAACTGCATCATCTAAATCAGCTGGTTCTTCTTTTCCATTTGGCTGAAGGCCGAAATGTTCCCAAAGGGGCGAAGTTGATTTATTATGCGAAAAAACTGCTTACCAGCATATAAACTACTGTTGATAACATACACCACAACTAATTACAACATAATAATACAAATAAAATAACTTACTGTAACACTATTACATTTGGCATATTGCATATATTTCACTAACACTTCTGTCATTTTACTGAATCAATACAGCTTTTCTTTGTTTGTTTTTGTTGTTTACATGTTCGAAATAAAAAATAAAGAAATAAATTAAATCCATAAAGGATATACAGTAAATATGGTAACCTATAAAAAGGTTTTACAGCATGTTTTTATTCAATAATTTTTCACCTCTAAATTCTCCTCTAAATTACAGTCCTGTTAGTGAGATATAAAACTAGTCAAACCTACTATTATAAATAAGTTGTTTTCGTTTTGTCTCTTTCTTGAGTGACCAAACATTTTGGCAGGAAGAGTAATGAGCTGCTTTTATCATATTACTTCAACAAACACTGTATTAATTATTAAAATGACAGTATCATTACAAATAATTAAAATAACACACTCTGTCCAGAAGTCACACTGTCCTTACCTGCACACGCCAGCAGAGAGCAGCAATAGCACGCTTTGCTGCACAATAATGGAGGAGGGTCTTGGTAGCGTTCAGCCACTGATGCAGCCCAAACCAGGGAGTTACTCCTCATAACAAAACTAATTTAAAATTTTAACCAGCAGGAGGCAGTCTAATCCTACAGGAGAGTTGAGTCGCAGCGCGGACTGAGGATGAATATCTATAAGATGTGTGCAGGGTCAACTAGGTCATTATGTTTCAGTTTGCTGGGAGCACACATTTTGAGGTCCATTTCCCGATCTGTTCATGCATATGCAATAAACATGACTGTAACAGCAGCTATAGGTCAGGATATTTTTGGGGCTATTTGTCAGGCTCTTTTGTAACAGGAGAAAATTATGATTAAAATATTGATATTTAATTACATTTCCTCATTTTTGTCTCCCCTTCTTTTTCTGTAAATTTCACTCATACACACTATTGTCGTTGTTTTTGTCTGCTATGTAAACCAGACTAATGCTTTTTACAGATTGGTTTCATTCTATGATTAGACCTCAGTTGACAGAATAAACATTCATATCCTCTACATGATGTCACATTATAATGATGTCAACATCAGAGCTGCTGTTGTCAAAGGTTGATCTGTGCATGTAATATGTTGAGTGTTTGGGACTCTAGGGGGGGTCCTGTTATAAAGACTTGATTGAATGTGATTACAACTTTGTCATAAATTATTTATAGGCAACACAAAGGACAATCAGGCACTCACCTACATGGATCACATCCCTGCACATTCATGCATCGCTTTTAAACACACAATAACTTCACAACATCTTCTTTACACACATGGATAATGCACACACACACACACACACACACACACACACCACACACACACACACACACACAGACACAAAATAAAATGAATAACATATTACATAACATCCAAATAAATAAAAAATACCAATTTTTATCGAGCATCTTTATGCCAATCAGAGATTAACCTCTAATCCCTTCATACCTGCATGACACTATACCACACTCGACAAACAAACAAACACACACACACACACACACACACACACACACACACACACACACACACACACACAAAATTGACACCACAGGGACACAAACCCTGCCAATGATTCAGTCGGGGCTGATGGAGGTTATGCAACCCCTCTCGCAGTGTAGATAGAGCTGCAGATTACTGGCCTCTCGTATGTTTATTAGTAATCTCTGTGTCCTGTGTCTGTTGTATATGTAATTATTATTATTATATAACACCATGTTGAGCGCAATGACCCATATCCATCTCAAATCCCACTACCTTGTAATGCACTTAAAAAGATAGATTGATGTCGGGACTGATGCTGAGTGATGCAATTTGAACTCACAGTAAAAAGTTAAAACACAGATGAAAGGATCAATAGAAGGACAATAACATGAAGGCACATTCAATATCTTCTGTCCCTGGTACCAAAAAAGGTCAATTAATGACCTCTGCCTTGAGTAAAGTGTTGATTCAAACACTGTGTGATGACATTACTTCCCCTCGAGTGATCCGTTTGTATTGGTTTGACACTGGTCTGGTGAGATAAAAACAGAGAAACAAATATGGGACAGTCAAAGATATATAGAGAGGAAGAGAAGTTGGCAGTCAGATAAAAAGAAAGGAAGCTGATAAACAGAAGCAGACAGCTGTAGAGCCGGCTTTCAGACCATAAGTCCAAAATCAACAGCCCACAAAAGGCCGAACCATCTGTCTCATTTGTGCTAAAAACCAGCGTATTGCTCATACACGTATTGACACTTTTGTTGACAACACACACTCATGCAGCCAGTATATCTTCTCTGTAAACAAATAACACTGCACAGTTCTTTATCCCATCTCTCAAGATCTGTGATACTTGCACAGCTTATATTTAGGCTTCTTAATATTTCACCTGTGGAGGACCCGGAAACAAATGTAACAATCAAGAATGAAACTTTTGTCTTTATGATATGAAGACAGAAGTATTTTGGTTCATTTGGTTCATTACTCAAAGACGCTTAACAAAGAACAACAACAAAGCAAAACAAAGAAAACAATACAAAGATGAAATAACATAGAAGGGGAACAAAGCAGAGAAGGAGGATACGAACAGAGTTTTTTAGTGGTTGTCGGCGATGTTGAAGAAGAGGGGAGTTTTTTAAGGATTAGGGACATAACACGGAAACTATCAAGTACAAGTGTTTCCTCTTGTTCCTAAATACCTAAAAATTGCAGAAACTAATGAAATGAATTCGGGACTGTGGTAATAATGATCAAACATATAGTTATGCTGTACAAAGGCAAAAATATGAATGCAGAAGACAGACAAGGGGAATAAAGAGTGAAATAAATGGAACTGTTCAGTCCATGTGCTTACTTCCACTCAAAAGAACTGATTGCAACGGTTAACATTTAGAAGTTCCCCTTCATTGAGATACTGCTTTGTGGTTTAACTGTCAGGATGACATGGTTTCAGTTGACTAACAGCAGTGTGTGTGGATCACTGTTGATGTCAATATGCTCCGTATTGATATCTCAAGTGTAGGAAACTGAAGAAAGATGTCAATTTAGTATATTCTCTTGTGTTCAGAGTATTTAGAGAGCCATGAGGTAAACATCAAATAGGCATTGCTACATTGATATTGGACCCCTGTTAGTTATAACCAGGATCGTTTTATTTGGGAAGTAGAGAATAAACTTAGAAAAGAAACTGCCATCAGTAACAGAGGGCTTAATGGCCAATGGGAATTAAAAGTGAAAAACCATTCTGTAAGTCTGCAAGTAATTGTTATTTGTATAGGATCAGTTATACTCTTCGTTATTTCTTGAGTCACCATACGATACAAAAATGACTTGACAAATGACCACTGGAAGAGCCCCAGGTGATGCATTCAAGAGTTCTATTCTTGAATGATTAACAGTTTTTAAAGAAGGTTTTTCAATTAAAGGTCACATATTATGCGAAATACACTTCACCATGTTTTTCTAACTCTCATATGTGTCCTGTCTACAAATCCCCCAATTATGAAAAAAAAAAAAAAAGTCCATCCTCTCCATCTTTGGCCTGATGCACTTTCCAGAAAATGTGTGCTCAAACAGTCCATGATATCATGATGATCATCACAGCTCATTTACATGTAAAGCTATAGACAGGGCAGGGCTGAAATAGAGGGGTTTATAAGCATGATAAAATACAGGATCAGAGTGGATATGAGTGGAATATGTGACCTTTACCATCAGTTTTTTAAGGGAAAGTTAAATTAAAAGAAGCTTCATTTTAATGTGAATGAACATTCAAAAACCAAGCCTGTCTTTAACTGACTTTATTTGACCTTTTAGTTTACTAGTAAACTAGTAAAGTAATTTCAGCGCAGGTAACAGTTTATTATTACATTCAAGTTTTACAGAAATATTCCATAAATGATTATGAACAGAAAGTACTGCATAGGAAATCAAATAAAAAAAACTGTTAGACAGTATTTATGTCTTTTGTTAGCATGTTAGCTGCCTTTTTAGCATGTTAGTTGCAGAATATTCTCTACAATTAACTCATGACTGACTCGTCACAGTGAGACACAGACTCACTGAGTCACTTCTAGTGAAGGCTTTCTATAAATATCTCATTCAGCCTCATTCAAATGGCAGAGAGGCACGCAGGGACACCAGTAACATTTTTACTGTTGCTTTAATCCCAGGGCAAGCAGAGGCATGGGATGAAATAGGGACACTGTCAGAGGACTCAGGCTTGCTGGAAAAAAACAGTGTTTCTGCTCTGTTTTTTAAACCTTCACTTAATCACCCAACAAAATATCTGCCCCTTGTGTCCATCTGTCTCTTTAAGAGTCTATCTTCTTGACTCTCGTACTTTTTCTTCTTCCTGCCTCTTCCAGGCTCTTTGTTTCTACCTGTTGCCAGTTTTGCAGCTCTGTCAGTGCCATCATTAGTGCTGAAGCTGCTTGTACGCTACGGGGGATACATTTCATTTTTACCTCTGACAGGTTAACCTGCCGTTCAGCCTACCCCATCTCCACAAACCCTCCCTATACAATCAATGGCTAGCTTGCCTTTTCTCCCCCACATCCCCTTAGTTTTCTCACAAAGAAGGAGGAGAAGCACTTGAGGAGTAGAAGAGGAGATCATGGTCCGTCTGTGTATTGCAAAACAAACATACTGACAGATGGGCAGTCCCATAGACACACAGAAGAGATAAGAGGATTGAGCCTGCTACTTGTTGTTGTTGTTGTGGGTCTTGCCATAACTCTTAATGCAGTTAGCTCACTCTGAGGTGCTACAAATGGCAGAGATGAGGAGCCAATGGAGTTTCTGGGTAGAAATAATGTCACCTGTGGCTAAAGAAGAAGATAAATCCAGATCACCATTCAAAGTTGATAGTCCAGCAGGTATTCTTGTACTCTGTAACAAGGCTTTTGACATCTGCTGTATCAAAAAGGGTTGCATTCTGCCAACATATCCATAGTCATGCTGTAGTCAGCAGGTACTTTTGTTCAGCCTTCTTCTGCTCTGGCTCTGCAGTGAAAACTGGAATTTTCTCTGGATGTGAAGGCACCTTGCAAGCCTTGTAGAGTATGACAAACAGAATGAGGATGAGGATGCCAACCACTGAGTTACAAACAATTGCGATAATGGCCCAGATAGAGAGGCCCATCCTCAGCTCGTGCTCCATGGCTGACTGAATAGAAAACTCCAGACTCATTACATCTCCGAGGAGAAGCCGAGGCCCGAAACTTGTTAGAAGCTGGTCACGTCAACAGCCCACAAATCCTCCTGAAACAACAGAAAATTGATCATTAGAACACCGTCCTGCCTAAATGTCCAGTGTACACACACATGTTGACCAGAGTCAGCCTCCCATGGGCCTCCATAAGTACACTAGTGAGGTCAGCTCAGAAAAGATTACTTTCTCTGACACGCTATAGCCACTGAGCCAAAGTGGCTTTATTCATGCAGCCGCTATATATGGAACAACCTTTGTATGTCCAGTATCTGTTAATCTGTGTATCATACACAATCAGCTTATTTATATATCTCAGCCCTTTTCTGAGATGCTGTTTAATAATTTTCAGATGATAGGGATTTTTGAGAGACTAGAATGGGCCTTTTAGATGTGGCTCTTCTTTTTTCTTCACAGTCAAATTTAGATTGAGTTTTTAGAATAATAAAGAAGGCGCAATAAGCACTTTTTCCAGCTCAATTATTTTGAAAGAGTTTCAGCCCTAATGCATTCTCAGCAGTATCACGTGCTAATATTGTTGCCAATTTGGTGGCTGATATTAAATGGGTCACTAAGGTGCACTGTGTGTTTGTCTGTGTGTGTGTGTGTGTGTGACTATTTTCCCTTTCCCTATACAAACTGAAGCTACCTCTCTCTCTACTCTCTCACTGAACTATAATGCGTTTCTAATGAGACTACATATTTCCTTTTCTCTCCAGCTGAGAGCAATACCACAACAGTCAAAACTTGCTATTCAGAACTCATTCTGAAGTTATCCTTTCCTATAACCATATTATAAAAAGCCAAATACAGATGGATAGCTCTGAGTTGAAGTCAGACGCAGTGATGCATTTGATTAGTTCTCATTCTCATGAGGACTGCATGTCTGTCTGTAGCAGATGGGTCCCTCTGAGGCGGCTGGTGGCATCACTGTGGGGAAAATTACCCTCATAATCCCCAACTTGGATTACTGTCAATAAAACTGCAATACCAAATATTTCCAAAACATCCTGGGGAACTTTTTCTGGAAGTCAGGTGACACTTACTGTAGCGTAACCTACAACTTCCAGTTAGAGAGAGAAGAGGAACAAGAAGGTTTTATGATGTCACAGAAATGTGATAAGGAAAACTATGGGTGAGAGAGTAATCAAATGAGTGGAAACAATGGATCCAAATAAAAGACAACATGCATATAACCAGGAAACACACAGCAGTCACACAAGTTCTTCATGATTTCTTATTAAAAAACGATTTTTAAAGGCCATACTTCCTGAAGTAGATTTGATAGTTTAACAACTGGAAGGGTAAAATGTTGTCATTTAAAAGATTAATGCATTTTCAAAGATGGCTCAGTAGCAATATGTGACTATAAAGGAAGAAATACAATGTTTCTTAAAGTCAAAAATTCAAAGACTGATCACGAATTAGGATACAAATGGTACTGGGACTATTTATAGATGCAGGGTAACATTTCCAGGGTTCTTAGATTACTCAAAAAAAATTGCTCTACCCTTATTTGGAGTCCGGAAGATTTGATGCATGCTTCTCTGTATGTGTGAAATAGTTTGCAAACATGACTTGCAGTACATTTGAAGAGGAAACATGAACACAGAACCCAAACTTTCATAATATACTGTTCAAATAGGTCTCTTAACTTTATCAGAAATTTAAGTGTTTCTTTGGGCAGAGGTCTAAAGATCAGAACAGCACATGACTGACCCACCACATACAAACATTCAAGAACATTAAGACACTTGTCAACAGTCAATACACAGATAACTACATGTACTGTAGTGTGTTCAAGTTATGTAAGGGTAGCAGGATAGTTTAGCTTCAGGGTGGAGAGCGGAATCATGAAACAGCATGAGTATGTCTATGGGGCCATTGACCAGTATAAAGCCCTTTTGTTGTGCACATGCAAATAAACAGATGTAAATGGATGCAAATACTGGCCTGCATGCACCGACGAATGCTTTCTAAACGAGCATTACATGCATACAAACACATTACACAGACTGATTGTGCCATACTGACCACATGAAAAACAGGCGAATACTTTTGCATAATGCATCACCTTAGGAGCGCCATCTCATATGACTGAACATCCACCCTCTCTCTCCAGCACATGACAGGACCAGCTGCATAGACACAACTTCACTGTGGAGTAAGTATTGAGGGCTGACACTTGATGTGACACATGAGCTAAACCAGATGGTTGGTGAATTGTCTAACTGGGAATATTCACACATTTATGCATTCTTTTGGGGCGACAACTTTTGGGAAAACTATCTTACTCTATATTGCTTCTGAAACTGCTTTTATTTTACAGAAAGAGAAGGCTTTATATTGCATCAAATGTAAATATATTTACATTGTTTTAATGCTGAAAACTCTACAATGTGCACATTTGTACGAGATTCAAAACAAGCAAAACTTTTTTTCTTGCTGAGAAAAACTCCCAATACGACCGTCTGGTTGTAATTACGTTTCACTTCTTTGGTGGCTTTTTCTTGCCCAAGCACTTGAACGCCTCACACAGCAGCGTACCTACTTGTTACGTCTGATGTCTGATGTCCTCGCACTTGTTTCCTCTTCTCCGACCGTGTCCCACCTTTGAAACTCGCTGATAACAATTTCTGAAACTGGAAACCGCCATCAAGTTACGTCACCACGTTGTTTGCGAAGTTGTTACTTTTGAGTCGAAGTCTGTCCGACTCTTTCTCGGTGAGTATCCACTTTGCGCGCAGACTGTGAATGCAGCCAGGCTGACCGATTCAGAGTCACTGCTGACAGACTGACAGAGCGACAGAGCGGAGATGCTGCTGTCAGGGAGGCCGCTTATCATCCCCACAGTCCCTCCCCCCAACGACACCCATCTCTCTCTCTCTCTCTCTCTCTCTCTCTTTCAGTCTGTTACTACCAAGCCATTTATCCTAAGACGCTCTTGGTACAGGGCTTGAGCTTCTCACGCCTCTACACGAGGTGTTTACCATGATCACACTAATTACCATGATGACATGGTAAACACTTTGGCGCGGTGCAAGCTGTCTTTGTCATTGACACAGAAAGTAAAATTAAAAATCAGTAAAGGAAGATATAGGAAACCCTATGCAAGGAAATACAAATTAAATAGAAAATTAAGACAAATTAATCATCTGGAAAGGCTGCACCATGTTTACAACAAAGTGCTCTTTGCATTAAGTTATGTAATTATGATTAAATTAATTACTAAGCGATCAAAATGCTGGCCATGGTATTCTTGCCTTAATACAGAAAGAGTTTAAGTGATTTACACTACCTTCTTTTGATTGAAGTATGCTTGAAACAACTTGTATGAAGCTGAAAAGCAGCTGCACCAACTGACAAACTTGTTGCCTCCTCATTGATATTCAGCCCAGCAGTAGAGTGTCTCTGGGGGCTCAGCCCTCTGTCTCCCTCTCTTTGTTTGTGTTGGTGGTGGGTGTGTGCATGGGGTACCCTGACCCACAGAGTTCAGGCATGGACAAAGCATTCTTTTCAGACCTCATTGTTCTCTTGCTTCAGAAAGAAAAAGTTTTGCAACAGAAGAGATCTAGAGAGGAGCATTTTATTGGAAGTGCAGCACTGGTGCACTTGAGCAATACTTCAAGAAGTACTGTACAGTGTCTTAATCAAACATGGCTCAAGTGAATGGTGATTTAATGACCGCCAAATGATCCAATAACCTTCGTGAAATGTAATGAATTGCAGTATTAAATATGCCATGAACGTATAATGCTAAAACATCATATCACAATATAAGAAGTATGATATTTTATTGATTTATTTATAATTATAACTACAGTTATGGGATAGGATGATATAATGAGAAAATCAAGCACATTACAGTTTTCTGTTTAATTCTTTAATATATTTTGTAATATTTATAGTAATTACAGCACTCAGTATCAAATATTCCATTGTGAGTTTTGATTATCAGTATTGTTTGCTGTTACAAAACAAAAGTGCTTTGGGGGGAAAACACTGAAGGATTTATTCTTATGGATGCTCTTCAATAGCATTTGTGGAAACTGTAATTTTTCATCCAAAATGGGGATAGGACTGGATTAGAGAGGGAGCAGCACTTGGGCTGCAGCCTGCATGAGAGCTTGATGAGATAGTGATCACTGATCACAGGCTGATTCTCAAGAGGAAGCTGCTTCACAAGTGTGATTCATTATATGAGAGAAATGAACTCAAATAGCCTGGTGTCCCTGCCTCTCTCTCTCTTAGACACACACACACAAGCAGGCCCACACACACACAGAGTCATTATTGCTTGTATTTTCAGGACGTGTCATGTCTGATCTCTGCCTCTGATGTCACTGAAGACGCTCATACACCTCCATTAGCCTGTCAAAACTAATCAGAGTGTGTGTCAGCGTGTGAGCTGTGCAAATGTGACAAGGAGAAAAGGAGAGAGAGGGAGATAAAATAGAGAGAAGAGGCAATTTAATTTCTTTTTTAATTCTGCCCCCCCCCCCCCAACACACACACACCATCCTTCCCTACCCTCTCTCATCCTCATTTCATCCAAGCAAGTGAAAAAAAGACTGAAGTGTTAATCTAGACTTTGCCATTGTAGCCCTCCTCATTTTCAGCAGGCTGTTATCAGGAACACAGACAGACTCCCCTGATGAATATTTTGGTGCTCATAAAGGCCTCCTGCTGGAGGGCAGGGGGACAAAGCGGGTCAGTTTCAAGCAGGGATATTAGAGTCATAGTTTGTATCAAGGGTCTATTTCATAGGGGCACACACCATTCCCTCTTATACTCTAACTTTTTTGTGCTATCCTTGCAGTGTTGAACTATTATTAGTTGTTGCTGTTTTGCAATCAGATACTTTGGTAATTCTGCACAACATTCTGTTATCGAGAACTGTCAAGACCATTCTCCTATTATGAGTATATGAGGACACCTGCTGGACATATTTGACATTGTTTTAATTTCAAGGCAGCTTCACAGGAGTGTGAAGAATGAGTGAAGAAAGCATTATGACGGGCAAAAATCTCTCTCAACTTATCCAGATTCACACTTATCCAAACTCTCACACCACTTAACAAGACACATGCAGTTATCTCTGTATTCTTTATTGTTGTGTCATCTTCTTTAGTTGTCCATCATAACCTGATAACACAAAACATTCAGCTGTCAACTATAGAAAGAAACAAGGAACTTGCATTTACTCTAAAGATATGAATGTGTCTTCATTACCTGGTCGATCCAGTCGTTGAAGGCGGACACTCTGGTGAAGACGGTTGGTTTTTTCACAAAGTTGCAGCCGAGGCCAGAGACAAAGCTGGCAATGCCATGGACCTCCCAGGCTCCCTCTGTGTTCTTACAGTTCAGAGGGCCGCCAGAGTCACCCTGGACACACAGAGAGAGGAGGAGGGATTATTATGTTTTATTCATTTAGTGGAGATACTGGTAGACTGGCAGGGTACAACTTTGAGAATGACAATCAGGATCATTATTTTGCTAAGTATAATGAGCAGCTAAATAACACAGGAGTGTTGGTGTCTGACTCATTGGGCATTTTTATTTGAATGCACCTACTGGATTAAATTTCAAACTTTATTTTCTATTCAAATAGTAGGTGCAGACCCATTGTTGCCAAAGCAAGTTGTATAGGATTTACTAAGTATGTAAGTTGTTTTTTTTTCAGAGAAAACACTTATCTCATCATGTACAAACAAACACAAAGTAGAAACTTACATTGCATCCACCCACGATTCCATCCCCGCCGGCACACACCATGGTGGTCCTGAGAGCGATGCCCCACCAGTCAGGCTTGGAGCAGGTGGCGTGGTCAGCCACAGGCATCAAAGCCTGCTGCAGCTTATCAGCTATGGGGCCTCCGGCTAAAACACACAGGCAGAGTCCATTACCATCACGCGGATACACAAGCAGTCTGTCAAATCTGCTCCACAGATTTCCCTCCAGCGCCAAATTCAAAGTCCAGCTCAAAATTTTCAATTTAGGAGTAATCCTCCCCTTTGAAAAAAGTTTTAGCTGAAATCTCATGCATGAGATTTCATCCCAACTACGAAGGTTCCTCTGGGTTAACCCCACTCTATCACACACAGCTGGTTCTAACACAACAAACCAGCTGAAAACCCTAAAGGAGAGAATCATGTTGACTTTTCAAAAAAGCCAATCTTAAGGGGGAAAAAAGAAAATAAACACATTCCAGCACTCTACAAAGACTGACTTACTGTAGAGCCTGCCCCAACCGGTGATGTAGCAGGGGTAGAGGTTGGACAGCAGAGTGCCAGCAGCAGGGATACATGCCAGCTGCACCTGGTCACTCAAAGTCACAGGCTCTGACAGCTTGATCATGGCAATATCATTACTGCAAGACAAGCACGAAGAGAGAGAATGAGACTGAAGGGGAGACTGACAAGCAATTTAAAACCTTCTTTCACAGCCAAAAAGGGGAGAGAGTTAGAGCTAGATAATTAGAACAAGAATCTGTATTTTTGCGATTTTATCTAACTGTATTTTTATTGGCTGTGGAGAAATGCAAGATGTATAAAGATACAAAATGAGTGGCAAACGTAAGTGAACAAATAGAAGAATTCAGGTTTTAGCTCACTTTTTCACCTTAAACCAGAACAGCTGACATTATGATGATGTACTGTATGTTTCAACTCACACTTCACTTTCTACTGTAAGCTGGAGCTGGTCTTACCCGAAGGCCACAAAGATGGGGTTCCATTTCTCATGCACGATAATCTTCTCAGGCAGGATAGCCTTGGAGCCAGCCTCCTCCTCCACCAGGTTGTGTTTGCCCACAAACACCCTGTAGGAGAACTTGGAGCTGTAGGGGAGAGTAGACTGATCAGACCCATATCAAACCAAATAGAAAATTCAGTGCACAGTGTAATGTTTTGATTAGTTCAAATTAAAGTTAAAATTTGACAGAAAGATTGGGTTTTTGAAGTGGGCAGAGGGTCCAAATAACCTTGGGTGTATTTTTTTTTACTGATTTTTTTTTTTGTAGGAGGTCATGACTGGACCAATCCTTTTTTTAAAGGTGGTAACGTATTATTTAAGTGTCCTAAATTAAACAAATTATTATGGTGTTGCATTAGTACATTCTGCAGTAATACGTGTGTGTGTGACATGTAGATTTTTGCAATGGTGGTTGTGTTTTTCTGTTTATCCATTTATTTTCCTCTCCTGCCCGTACTTGATGCAGTGAGCAGCGGTCATGACCCAATTGGCAGCAATCAGAGATCCCCCACAAGTATGCCTCCATTCACCGTCCCTCTCATACTGCAGAGAGATCTGGTCACAAACAAGAGGAGCATAATACAAATAAGATTCAATAAACTAATGTTCTAGATTTGTAGATCGATTGCACAGTTTATTAATTTAATTGAAAAGCAACCCTTTAATTACAGAACTGGGGCTAGAATCTAATAGGCAGATGCTAGACACATAAGGTTTGCCAGTTAATATAAAAACATGGACAGATGTGCATAGATTAGCATACCTGCCAGGGCCAGCTGTTGGGCGTGGCATCTTCTCCGTTGACCACACGAGAAGTCAGGGGCTCGATGGGTGGGGTGCCGCACCCAAGGGCTGGACAAGTCAGAGATTAAAATTAGATAAAGACTCATGATGTAGGTGAGCCATGAGTGTACTTTTCCTCCCAACATCATGCTATGACTGAATCACTTTTTTTGTCATGCAATGAAGAGTAGCACCTTGCCAGGTCATTGTGTTTTATCATGTATGCACATACAGACTCTCACACAAACTTTCAAACAATTACCCCCAGATTTAGAGAACGCCAGATGTTCTTACCGC